TCATTAAATATAAATAATTATATTAGATTCAATTATACTTTAAATTCTCAATTTATTTAAATCAGTTTAATAGTTCAGTGAATTAACATAAATAAAATCAATTAAATTTATTTAGTGACGCCACGCGGCTATTACGCGCCACCGTTAACAAAGGATTGCATCGGCCACGCGGCTTTAGTCAATCCATAATTGACGCGTGATATTAACAATTAATTACATTAAATCAATTATTCACATTTAATTACGATCTTATTTAATTTAACTTATAAATAATTAAATTCCAACTTCAAATCATTTGACTAGTTTCTACACGAAATTATCAAACTCAATTGACTAACATTCTGTTATCAATTGAATATTATTAGCTCTCATCTAGAGACAATTAAATATTATTAGCTCTCACCTTGAGACAATTGAACATTAATAGCTCTTACTCTGAGACAGTTCAAATTAATTAGATATTACCAGCTCCCACCTTGGGACTTATCTAATTCAAATTATCGATAATTTTCTATCTAAGGCGGCCGAGCTCACCCCTATTGCGTTATTGCAACGTAATTTTACACATTCACACTTACACACACACACACACACACACAATTTACTTGTATAATTTCATCAAGGAGGTTTTTCCCAGCCTAGCTGGGTTTTCCTCCTTTGGGGACAAATAAATTCTTCTAAATTGTTCCCCAAAAAATCCAAGTATTATTATTTAATTTCCTAATCCCAACTTCATCATATTTTTAAAAACAATTACGGGAATTATCCGCATTGGATAGTTTTCGACAAAACACACTCAGAAGACTATTACATAATATGCAATATTATCCAAATAAAAAAAAAGGGTCACTGTTTTGAGGCGTTTGTAAGAAGCACAAGAAATTTGTTAGGTAGAGATGCAAAAGTATGCTATTTACGTACAGATCAGGGTACCAAGTATACAGGGGGATACACGCTCGAAGTGTTAAAAACTCTAGGGGCAGAACAACAATTAGCAAGTCCTGATACACCTGAACACAACGGGGTAGCCAAAAGGTACAATCAACGGTACAAAAGAAAGTAAGAGCCTACATGTATGATGCGAAATTACCTGAAAATATGTGGGATTTTGCTTTAAGTGCTGCTGTATATGCTTACAACCGAACACCTCACAAGTCTAACAATATGATAACACCTTTACAAAGGTTGGCACCGAATCACAATTTTGATACTAATCAATTGAAACGTTTAGGTTGCGTAGCATATATTAAAGTACAAAGAAAAACTGGTCATAAGTTTAGATTCGAAGGGAGACGCGTAATTTTGGTAGGATATACACCTACTGGTTATCAGTTCCTGAAACCAGAAGAAGGGAAGTTTTATGAAAGTAGAGATGCTCGTTTTAATGAGAAACTTGTGTATGGTGATAAGTATAATAAAAAGTATGATAAAAATCAAATAAGTATGATAAAAATGGTGGGAAAGATTGGCCGGTTGAAAAGTTATCAGTTAATAAAGAGAAGTGGTTTGTTGAATTTAATAAAGATGAGTTAGAATTCTTAAAACCGGAGGGAGAGACGAAAAGAAAGAGAGGACGACCGAAGAAACAGCAAAATTGTTGGTGTGCATCATTGTGTATTTTAATTTTTATGAAGTCCTAGTAAATAGAATTCACGAATTTCATTAAAAGTAAAATATTTTGCAACCACGCACACTAGATACGTTCCAAAATTTTTTTTTTAATTTTTAAATTTACATCAAAATTTTTTCTAATTTCGGAAAATCATATACAATCATATCGGTTACTTGGATTTTTTAATTTTTTTATTTTATATCTTTTTGTAAAGAAAACAAAATTTTTTTTTCTTAATAGTCTTTTATGAACGTGGACTTGGCGCGATTTTTTTACAGTGAAACTGTTTTTGTTCGGATTTTAGTATTTTTTGTAATTATAATAAAAATTTACAATTAGTACAAATTTCAATCTCGCGTTGGCTGCATTTTTATAGTAAACTATTCCCTTGAAGCTACAGTTTATGTAAAAATAATTCCAGTGCACCCTGGCGGGTGTAGATGCAAGCTGTGAAATGTATTTTTCTAACTGTAGTTTCCCATCTATCGGAGGATTACCATGCACTATCGAATTATATAGTCTGTGGCAGATCACTTTGCCCATCGAAAAAAAAGTCAGGATCGAAATTTTTGCGTTGCTATAGTTTGTGCTGATTAAATTTAATAATTTCAAGTAGATTAATTGTTATAATTAAATACAATTAATTAATATCAGTAAAATAAAGTATGAATTACTGTTATAATATAAAATTTAGGAAAAAAAATTACCGTAGAATTAAATAAAATTTTGCAACCTCGAAATACCGTTCTGCTTACAGTAAACACACTCGGTAGTCTGGCGCTCCGTTTACAACGGATTTGAACGGAACTTGGCGCCAGATTCTACCGAATCTGTGGATAAAACATTGTATCAATGTTTAGTCAACGATAATATCATTTGATCATTAACTAATTACTAATTTTTGGCGATAAAGACAAGATTAATTTTTTAATTATCACATGTTGATTTTAGTATTATAATTCGTTTCTTGAAACAAGATTAAACTGGCAATCACAGCAATAACGAACCGTATGCTTATTGCAAATTGGAGCATTACAGGATGTACAACTTTTAGTTGTATAACTATTCGCCCTTCTAGGGCATTGATAACACAATCCACGTTCTGGACATTGAGGATTCATTGGATACTTAATTTTCCCAGTTTTTATTATTATTGATCTCAATTCAAGTGATAGATTCGGTAATTGAAGACGATTCACTAAGTGTGGTTGGACTAGCTGAGAGTAAAGTTGTTTTAAAAATTCTCGCCGAGGTATTTTATTACCAGTGTTTTCTTCATAAGTAATTTTCGCATTGATACCAGCAATGTTGAAAAAACCATAAAAAATTACCATCGGCCAGCGTCGTGTGTCCCGAGCAATATCGTACTCACCCTGCAGCTGGTCTACAACATCCACACCAGCTTTAGTACGGTTGTAAAAAGTTACCACTTCTGGCTTCAATTTTTCACCAGTTTCTTTATCAATTTTTGTCGAGTTGTGTAGAGTAGAGTACATCAGAACGTTCTTTGATTTTTTTGGCACGTATGACACTAACATGCTCGTATTACTAAATAAAAATTTACTACTGTAAATAGGCCGAGTTTTGATTTCAGTCATTTCTTTTGGAATTTCACGTTTATTTTTTCGTATGGTTCCAACAAGAGTTGTGTTATTTCCTAACAAATGATTTGCAAGAGGTACAGATGTAAAGTAATTGTCGCAGGTGACATTTCTGCCAGTTTTCAATATTGGAGAGGTCAGACGTTTAACAACATCAAATGCAGAATTAGACTTTTGGTAAGGTCCTGATGGTTGTTTCCCGCAGTAAATTTCCATATTGTAGGTGTAAAAATTTTTCGAATCAGTCATAGAATAAATTTTTATACCATATCTTGCCGGTTTATTGGCAATATATTGCCGAAATTTACAACGACCTCGAAAAGCTTGCAGCATTTCATCAATAGTTAAGAAAGCGCCAGGTGTATAATTTTCTTGGTATCGTTTAATAAAATTTCCCGAAAATTCTCGGATAGGCGCCAAATTATCTAATTTTTTTCGCTCATCACGATTATGAATATCGTCGAACTTCAATGCTGACAAGAGATTGTAGAATCGTGTTATTGACATCACTGCACGGAAAGAATCTGGAGCCGATCCATCAGTTGCCCACAACTCTTGTAAATTCAATCGTGAAGCTTTATGTACGCCTATCAGATACAATAATCCAATCATAGCCTGTATTTCATCCACGGTTGTTGGTTGAATTTCTGTTTTACGTTTTTTTGATAAGCGTACACTTTCCAAGAAAATATTCGTATAATCAACAATTTTCTCAAGTGTTTCATTAGGTATAAAAAGATTCCAGCAATTCAAAGACGTTTTTGCACCCTTGGCGCATTTTGCAACTCCAGGTAGACATGTGACAATATTCTGTCGTTTAGTACGAACTTTTTGATTAGGCGGAGTATGAAACCACTTCGTAGCTTTATCTTTACCGAGCACAAATTTTTTATTTTTCATTTCATTCTTCTGTGGACTATTATTATTGTCATCTGTGTCATCAATATCGCTTTCTGATTGATCAGTACTGGAGTCGTGGTTACTATATTCCGATTCAGCGTCAGACATCTCGTCGAGATCAGAGATACCAGTCTCATTTTCGTCTCCAGAATCTGTTGTTTGATCCATATTTTTACCTGGTAATTTAGAATAGAAAATTTTTTATTTAATGTATAAATTGTATCCGTTGATATGTAAAAAAAAAATTAAATTTTTGAGTAGATTTTCACAAAAAGCCAAGAAGTGATTATAGTGACAAATTATTATTATTTGTTAAAAGTTTGTTATTTATCAGAAGAATCAAAATTTTTCAAAACAAAATATTTGAGCTAATTGAATATTAATAATTCATGATTTATAAATGTTTTTAGGTTACACATGTATTTATGACCGAAAAATATTAATACATAAAGTTAAAAATTTACTTACTGTGGTTATTCACTTAATGAATAATAGCACTAATGAACTAGGATAATATTTAAAATAATTATTAATTATTACATTTTTTTTATAATTAAAATACTGGTAGTCTAAGAGCCAGCTTAAATCTGACAACACATTCTTTACGGTATCTGAAATTTCGTCCAGTGAGACTTCTATACCCAGTAAACAAGCAATGGGTACTAGCTAAGCCCGGCCGCGGTAGGTTTGGGGTGCCTCAGGTGAGTCAGGTATGAAAATTAAGTAAATTTTTAAAGTATTTTACGGCGTCAGCCATTTTAATATATTATTTATTGAACTATTTTAAGCCAATATTAAAAATGGCTGACATTTTTTCCGGTTGTAACTATCCGGCTTACAGCGAAACATTACCTGTAGTCCGTACATATGTATGTCCACAGTTGTAATTTTCACATTCGTCAAGTTTATATAACATTAAAATTATATTAGTCAATGTAAAAAATTTTATAAATACACAATGAAACGAACGATCTACTACTTTAAATGTGTATAATAAAGAAAAAAAGGTTCATTATAAGGCTTTAACAAATATAAAATTATTATAAAAATGTAAAAAAAAAATCAAACATTAATTACCCGAGAAAAAATATTTATATATAATTATATATATTTATATATAAATTGGTTATATATGATTATATATGAAAAATGGCCAAATATAATCATATCTAATTATATATAATTATGTATAATTATATATAACTATATATAATTATATATAACAATATTTAATTATAGATTTATTACATCTAATTAATTATTGGGTTAATTTTATGGATAGAGTATTTAATATGGTCCTACGCAATTCTGTGTAACTGATCAAAATGCAAAAAAAATATCTAGAACTAATTTTATGGCTATAACACCAGTGGTCACCCATCCAACTATTAACCCTACTCAATGCTGCTTAACTGTGGTGATCTCCGTGCGTCTTGAAGTTTCTGTCTGCTGTGCTGCTATCTTAGACAATAATGATTCTATAATCTACTTAATGTATCATATGAATTTATCATAAATATAATATAAAATTTGATTTTATAATATATTTGGACAGTCATAATTCATAATTTATTCATCTTACCGAATTTCATTATAATATAACACTTATTTAAATAATAAAATAAATAATGATTTTACTACTACGTAGTAGCAGAGCAGACAAAACATCTCATAGAAAATGTGACAAATTTTGTATTTCAGAATTATGTAAACGTAATTATAAACATCATTTTACACTTTTTGTGATTTTTTGTTGAAATATCAAAATTATTCTATTAAAATAACAAAGAGGATTTGTTGGAGTAACAAAGACAATTTGTTGAAGTAATAGAGAGAATTTGTAATAATAACAATGACAATTTGTTGCAATAACAAATAAATTTGTTACAGTAAATTTTATAAGAATACATTTAAAAATACGCTATAATCAGCTATATA